GTTCCCAGATAAGAGAAAACTGGCGGTGGCAATCGGTTCATCCAACAGCATTTCATTGACAGATGATTTCATCGACACACAATGTTTCATCGTCAAATGGTTTCATCGGCAGCTCAGATAAGCTTTTTGACAAAAACCCCGAGACTGGGACAAAAAGGGACGGACAAACACAAAGTCTCAAACACAGCTGAATTTTATTTGACAACGAAGGGACCCTTCGTTGTCAAATAAAATTCAGCTGTGTTTGAGACCTTGTGTTTGTCCGTCCCTTTTTTTCCCAGTCTCGGGGGTTTTTGTCAAAATGTTTAACCACCACCAGCTCGTTTGCGCCCTTACCTTTTGTTCAGATAAGTTTTTTTCTGTAATAAGCTGCATGAGACTGCCGCTGCGAAGCGACATGTGCGGGTCGATCAGGTGGGTTAGCATTTTTGTAATGAACCGCTGCAGACTCGCCACGAAGCAATCATGTTGACAGAACGTGTGTCCATGAAAAGTTGTCCACAAAACGTGAATCCATAAAACGAGTTTCAACGAAATGATAAAGATTCGAAAACCGGAAGTCGCCAAAAATGGTTTTATAGGACAATTATGCATTATCTGCAATTAGGCTCCACTAAGCGTACTTAACAATGTCCATGTACCAAAAAACAAAAAAAATCACTCGCCATTGTTGTTTTTAATGACAAAAAAAAAAGGTTAAATTTCTTTGAGGGATTGTGGGGCCAATGTAGGTTTTTGGGCCTTCTCAGAACATTACATATTGGGTGCCAAATAAGCAGGCGCTGCCCCGAAAGGTGCTTCTGACGCGTGAGTGCAGAGTGACATAAAACGTGACAGAGACTGGAAGTTTGCCGTTTCTATCATCGAGTGACACCGACTCCTCATTTGAAAGGTCCTTGAAGCAATGAGGAAAAAAAATTTAAGACGTTTACAATGTTCTGTAACGCTGAATTAGTGCTCAGCTCTTCAGGAGGAAGAGGGAAGGGTACGGAAAAGAGGCTATGCCCTTCTTCCTTCCTCGCTAAATTTAGCGGGGAAAATTTTTCGCTGAATTTAGCGGAAAAACTTTTACCCTTGTGACGTCACGTGTGACCTCGCACATGGCATCACACGAGTAAATTTAGCGGAAAAATTTCCTTGCTAAATTTAGTGTGAATGTTGGCAATGTTAGATGCATGTGACGTCACGTGTCGTACATCACGTGTTTCCTATAATGACGTCACGTGTGATTTCACGAAGATAACCTTCATGACCCCCGTGAGGGTAAACCTCGTGACCCTCGTGAGGGTGACCCTCGTGAGGATAACCCTCATGAGGGTAACCCTTGTGACGTCATATAGGGAAACATCCCATGATGCAGCGCTCAGTACGCCGACAGCGTCGCCGCTCAAGCCAAAAACGGGCACCTGAGAGCTGCGTTCTAAAAAGGGGCAAGCGGGTCGGGTCTTTACTCGTCGGTGCAGGCACAGACGTGCACCCCCCTCACTATGCACCGCACACCTTCCCCACAAACACCACCTCCACTGGTCGCCCGTCCATGGGAAGACAGGGATTCTGCGGTGCTCTTTTCTGTTGTCTATCTCTCTCTCTCTTTCCTTGCACCGTCGGGACTGGCACACCAACCTCCTGGTTTGTCCAGAGAGCCGGAATCACTCCTGCACTCGCCCTTTTTCTTCTTCTGCCCTGTCTAGATCCCTCGATCCAAACACCAGTGAACCCACCCAACTTTGCTGGTACATATTCTCTTCCTTTCTTGGCTCTTTTTCTCGGCCTGCTCTCCGGAGAAAGCGGAAGCCATGGCCCGCTCTCGAACTACCGCTTGCGACGTGCATTTCTGTCAATGCCTGTCCCGCCAGACACCGGACGGAGAATACAGGACAGTTGTGCAGGAGGGGGGGGTTGTTCTGCTTCAGGTTTTGCTGGTACACAATGGTGCCCGAGTGGTAGGGCGTCAGTTGAGTTCAGCCTTTGATGAAATTGCCATGCGATGAAACTCCAGCTAATTGCAATTGGGTCGGCACCCTTGGTTGTTTTTAGCCAGGTGTCGTATTTATTTCCAATTGTCATTTTTCTTAAAACTTTGTTTTGGCCATTGGCCCTGTTCATACTATTTTACTAGCTTGAAGCCGTCTACGCTTACTCTAGAGCAGACGGGGGAACTATTATATTTGCAGTTTTCTTGCCATTTCCCCAGATAACAAAACTGTCGTGCACTCGGCGACTGCCGAGAATGCTTGTATAACCAGGGTGTACTGGAGTCTCTTCGTAACTTGGTCAGACTTAAATTTTGTTGTACTAGCCGTAACTCCAGAACTTGTCTTGCTGCAAAGTAAATGCCCGCTTGGTCTTGTACTACATTTACCCCCATGCTGACAGTGCAGTGGAAGTTACATGCTCGCTGGACCAGTTGTACATCCCATCTTCCGCTCCGTGATCACACCCTAACCCCTGCCCACGTGGAGAGGTCAGAGTGAAGTGATCAAAAAAGGGGGTAGTTGATTGGTCTGTCAAGCCAGTAGTTGCCCCCGCAGTGTTGTCTTGGGGGTGAAGGAGTACAGTGAATCAAGCCCGACTCAAGGTCAAGGCAGTCGTGTACCTCCGTCCTAAGTGTCTGGCCCCGCTGTCCCGTCATGTGCTGCCTGCATTTTGTTCTTCAACTGCCCGTCCATCCTCTCCCTCCTTTTCCTTTCCTGTGCACGGCTCACTACTGCACAAACTTGTCGCTTGTGACTTGCAATGTTTCTGGTGCGTGGAACGGTACAAATTCTTTGCAACGAAAGGTGCGCAAGGCTTAGCCGTGGAATGCCATATGTTATGCTGTTGCAGTGTGGCATCTCGAGCGCAGGTTAGAGAAGTTATAAAGAAGACAATATGGACTGTCAGGCTGCCATTTGACTTGTGTTAGTCTGTTCCCTCTTTTTAAACTTTTCTTGCTTTTTTTTTTTTTTTTCTTTAGAGTAGTTATCTGTTTCTGTTGGTAATGTTTTAATTTGTCCAGCATTATGTGCTGTTCATCCAGTCAGATTGCAGCCTTCATTCCTGTGTCTTCATTCTGCGAAAGTTTTGTGTGTAGCAGAAAAGCCACAAAATTTTTGATTGCCTCTGGAGTGCTCAGTGTTCAGTTGAAGTTTCAAGTTTTCTGCAGTGACGCAAGCACATTTTTTGGCATATAAAATGGGAGGGGAGGGTGCAGTTCTGGTATAAATTAAAAATAATTATTAATATTTCCAACTTAGCGAGGCAAAACTACAAGGGCACGCCTGAATTTGACTAAACAGCTGGTTTTAGCTTGTCTTTACTGATTGTGCTGGGTGGCAGTCCCTAGCTTAATATTTAAGTAATGCTAGGTTTGGTCCAGTCTCTTGACCCTTCTTGCCATCAGCTGGTTGATACGAAATATTTTCCTCCCTAATTTTTCGATTCCCTCGCTGTTCAACGACCCTGTAGCAAAATTATATCTCTAGTTAGCACGGTGATGCAAAACAGAGATATAATTTGTGCATGCTGCTCTGGAAGCAAAGCGTAGGACATGAAATCTAGGTATATGGTTTTTATTTCTAAGAGAAGCAAGATCTTAATAACAAGTATGATACACGACTAAGTCTACACAGCTAGTAATGTCAGTAATGGAGACGCAAAAAATAAGAAACAGAAAATGAAAGTGTTGTGTCATCGTGACCTTCAGGCTTTTTGGGTGAAGTTCACTTCCATGCCTTTTGTTTACATTGTCGAGGTGACTTTGGTGAAGGGGGTTCCTTCATTTCCGTTTCTGCTGTTTGTTTGGGCACCTTTTGCAAGAGAATGTCAAGTGTCTATTACCTCCAAAATAATGGGAATTTTCCACTGTGTAGTGCCCAAAAAAGTCTTGAAGATTAGTTTTCATGGATATTTAAGAACTCGCATAGAATTATGTTAGGGTCTCTTAACAATAGCAAAATGCGGAAGAAACTGCTCCACAAAAATTTCCCTTTTGGTTCTAATTGAGAGATGATATGATTGGAGTTTAGCTGGCTCTAATATTTGCATCTTTTTATTTTCTCAGATTTTTTTAAAATATTTTTTCGTAAAATAAAGAAACCATAAGGACTATTTGGCATGCACGCATATTCTGTGAATGGTTTTCTCTCCGAGTGCTTTTTGCTCAGAAGTAAAGATTTGATGAGTTCTGGCTGGATGTGTCAAATGCATGCTCTTCTCAAGTAGATTGGTGTTTCTTGTTTGTAATGATCTTGTGGTGCATCTTTTCCTGGGTGTAGTGCATAAGTTGAAACATTGCATTGCCTGCTTGCAATCTGTGGAAACACGTTTTGCTTTTAGTATAGGAATCAGATTTGTAAATTTACAGACCTTCCCTTTAGACCTGACAGTGAGAAATACTTCTTGCAGCACTTAACTTATACCACGTTAAATCTAGAGCTCTGATTTTGGAAACCTTTTACCGATGCAAAGAATGGGCTTAAGGTATATGTGAGTTTCTGGACAACATAGGCTTATAAACCCATTGTTTTGTGGATGGATATGTGCTTGCACTAGACAATTTATGCAGTGTTGTAGGAAAAGCAAAAGGCATAGCACGGAGGCATGTAGACTTCCTTGCTCAATTCACAGTCACTCTAGCACTAGAAAGAGCGTCCAGAGCCTTTGACTGGATCGGTTGAAACTGTCAACCCGAAGTGAAATTTTCAGCAAATTGGCACGTTTCAGTATCTTTTTTTGTTACAGGCTCCACTTGGTCTAGTTTTTTGTAGTGTATATGGGGCAGTAATAAATCATGATTGTGTTCGTCCTTGTCCTATTGAGTAACACTGTATTGCTCTTTCCTCGTTTTCTCTACTCCGTTTCTTCTCTACCACTGCAAACATTCCCCTCCCCGTTTATTTCATCTCTTTTTATTTTACCCTTCTCTTTGTCTCCCATCTTCCCACTTCTCTGCACTTTTCCCTTCTTTGTCCCTACCTCTGTTCTTCCCCCTCCTCTCTTGCCATGGCCACCACCTGCAGGGGAGGTGCCGGAGGAAGAGGGGCAGCAAGCCCGCCTCGGGGGCACCCTGGTGCTGCCTCTGACCACCATCGTGGCTATTGTGGTGGCGGCAGTGCTGCTGGTGCTCCTGCTGCTCGACGTGGTCTGCTACCTCCGCTTCCGATGGGGATTCCTCTTCTGCCTCAGGCATTCCTTCTGCGGCTCGGGAGGCTCCAAGGGGAAGGGAAGTCCAACGGAGGACGACGGCAAGAGCAGGTGGGTGACGGGACTACTTGGGCATTGGGACACCTCCGTTGACGGGGCGGCCCGGGTGTGGGATGCTTCAGGTGACGGGATGACCTGTCACCTGGAGTATGGGTGACTGGATGCCCCTTCAATAGACTACTTCCATAAAGCCCTGCATGCAACACGGCACGCGTTGCACTCTGGGAACTAGTTGGCCAGGGAGGAGAGTGGCAGGGTTTCGGTTTCGATCGACACGTCGTCGTTTTCCGGTCCCGAGAGCGTCATTTGTGGTCTCTAAACTAACCTAAATGGCCAGACCTCGAAGTATGTGGACCAGCCAGTGCTGGGAATGTCGACGCTGCGAAGCTCGGGGATCTTGCTTGTGTACGAATTAACAAGCTGCAGCAACCAATAAGTATGCACACATCGAGCTCGCGACTTTACATTAGTGTTGTTGATCAGGAAGTTTGTTTGTTTCGTGCGTCCAAGACGAAATATTACTCTTTGCAATTACTGTTTTCTTAATACGCCTGAGTACGTGAGGTAAAACTCGGAGGCGCCATTGAAAAGCTCACTTGTTATCTCTTATCTGTACTGACCCGCAGCACTGCACGAAACGAAGTCCCCACCCACTTGCATTTTATTAATATTCAACATCGCGTATGCGCATAACGTTATCCTGCAATCGTATACACAAATTCGCACATACAAACCGTTTTAAGAAAGCAAAAGTCGAGCACTTGTGTGAAAAACGTCGCACCGTTCGCCTGAAGTACGCCGGACGGGCATGAACCCCTATGCAATGCGCCAAACGAACGAAATTATTCGAAGTGCATTTGACGGTTGCTAATGGCCATAATATTTGTTATGTGTTTGCTTTCTTCCTGCCTGAGTATGCCAAGATAATTTCAGACACACCGTTCAGGCACAGATCTTGGGCGTCAGTAAAAGCTCGTCCAAAAAGGCTTAGCGAGGAGTAGGGACGCTTGTTAGGGCCTCCGTCGTAGCTAGCCGATCTCAGCGTTTGCGAAAACTTAATCTTCTATCAGCATAAAATTTGAGTGGGAGATACATGATGACACGAGGAAGACAACATAGTAACTTTGGTGCAGTGGTGAGGTCGAATTTATTGCGTTTCCTTAAAAGTTTATGCGTCAACGCTGGGCTCAACTTTGATACTCCTGTGAGGATGCGGCTTGCTTTTCGCCCAATGAAGTAACAAAAAGCGGACGTTTGGCAAACAAAATATGTGTAAGGCTCCAGGTGACCAAATTTCAGTTGTTGTTCACTGTTACTAGACTTGATTATTGAAATTGAACTCAAAGGTGAGGTGACTAAGCCACGTCTTACTACGTTTGCATACGCACTCATAATATCCGGTGTTTCCGGAACCAAGGAAAGTGCCCCGGTGTTCATTCTGTATCGCTCCAAAATGAGTATATTGTACGTTCGTGAAAAGTCAGATAATCGAAAACGCAAGCAGCGCGTTCGGTCGCGACGCGATAGCATGAGATGGAGCTGCTCAGTCGAAACCGAAACTGAGTGGCCAACTAGTTCCCAGAGTGCACTGCGTCGTATTTCGCCGCGATGGGGCGCGTCGGTTTTGGAAGAAGTCCATTGAAGTATGGTGGTGTGATGGGGTGGCTTATCACCTGAGGTGTGACAGGTGATGGTGTGACCCATCACCTGAAGTGTGATGGGTGATGGGATGCCCCATCACCTGAAGTGTGATGGGTGGTGGTATGCCCCATCACCTAAAGTGTGATGAGCAAAGGGGTGCCCCATCACCAGAAGGCTGTGGGTGATGGGTGCTCCATCACAGAAGGGTGTGGGTGATGGGGTGTCCCGTCACCTGAAGTGTGACGGGTGACAGGCTGTTTCCTCACTTGAAGTGTAATAGGTGAGGAAACATTTTCACCTTACACAGTGATGCCATGAGAAGTCACCCGTCATGCACAAACCTTTAAGGCTCTTACTGGCTGATAACCAAGTTTTATGTAATGTTTTACATTGTGATGATGACTGGGGTCACTGGTGTAATATGTCAATGTATTGACCTTTACATCAACATTGCTCAACTACAGCTGCAGCTTTCCAAGTAAATTTATAATGTTTATGGTTTCTGTGAAACGCAGCTGATAACATATGATAGCAATTCTTTCTGAATTGTTTTTAATGTTGTATTGAAGCTGCAGACAAAAGTGGTTAGCCTACTAGCTTACTCATATATTTGTAGAAGGTTCTAATTACATGCAAATGAGCTTGGGATTCCAGACTAATGCCCTCCCAAGCTAGGTGGGGCCGCTTTACTAGGTAATTTTTTGAGGGGGTTCCTCTGACTCTTCTTGTCCATCGTTGCCTCAGCCTGCCTGCAGTCACCGAACCGGATCGGGAGAAGACAAAATCAAACGCTGAGAAATGCGTCTCCACTGAGTAAGGACTCCTATCCCCAATTGGCTGGCTCGCCGCCGCCATCTCTCTCTTTCCTTGTCCGACGCTGGTGGAAGCTTGACTCTGCTCAGTTGAGGTTGTCCTCGCTTTGTGACTAAACTGGAAGGTTGTCCTCCTGTTTCCTAATATTCTCCTACAGTCTGCTGTCTGACGTCTCGCCTAAATGAACAAACTTGCAAGGTTTGGATCTGACCGGCTGCAGTGGTGCCAGGGTGCCTTCGTGTTGCTGCTACTAATACTACAGCAACTACCGTAGCTCCTGCCGCTAACTTCCACAACCGATGAATCTGTGGTTTCACTGAGGGCCGCCAGCAGTACTGGGTGGTTGATCACCTTGTGCAGTGGCTGGTCTAAGTTGTTGGTTGGACTTGCGTTCTGCCTCCTTTCGTTTCCATGGTAACCTCTGGTTTTGGTTTGTTCTCTCTCACTCTCTACTTGGGATTGGTGGCCGGCCTCTCCTTCTCCAGTTAGCTTGGCGTTGCCTTTGGTGTTGGCTCGTCTTTGAACGCCAAGCTGCCAGACACTTGGGCAATGTGTTTCGAGCTCAGTTATGCCAAAAACTCGCTCCACTTTGACTATGTGCATTGAGCTTCTCTGGTGTCGGCTTTTCCATTAACTTTTTTTTTTTGGTTTTGTCTTGGCTTGTGTGGTGTGTTATTTTGGTGTTGTGTTCTTAGGTGACATGGTAAGACATATTTGTTTGCACATTTGTATGTGTTTTTCTTTTTTTTTTTACATTTTGGGCCAGCAATTTTTTGCCAAACTTTTAGACAAAAACCTTGCTTTTAGCATCGCTCTAGATCAATGAAGGCACTGCGGCATAAATTGATGGGGTAGGAGAAAAAGCTTGGGCTTTGTGGCATTCTGCTGGCTTTGCAGCTGCATGTCGAAGCTTTCTTGCCTACAGGAGACCATAGTTTCCTCAAACATCATAGTAGTTTTTAGCTGGCCTTCTTGTACCCAACATGGCCTTTGTAAGCAGAACACTAGTCTTTTAAGGTGGTAGAGCGTTTCTGACTCCACAGCGGGAAAGCATAAGAGCATAACACAGGAGGAAAAAAATGGTAAGGGACTGGTTAAGCACAAATACCCAAACAATACCATTGAATGCCAAAACTTTGGAAAACTTGTGGCTTTAACACTTTGCTTCAAGGTGGCATTGAGGTGTCTTGTCTGTGGTGACGCAACATATTTTTGCACCATGCTCGCTTGGTAACAACACTTGTATCTTGTGGAATGCATTCCTCCTTTTTTCTAGTCTAGAACTTGTTTCACAGGAAGGATTCAACTTTCTGGAAAATGGACTGAGGTGCATGTCCTAGAAAAAAGACAGGCATCAGGCTTATTGTAATTCTTAATGTGAAGGGACCACATTATTTCCCCCCCCCCCCTTCATTTGAAACTGACATTCAAATAGATACAGGAAAGATATCTCACAAAGCTAACCTTTTGATGGTAAATTTCCATAGTATTCGAAGGAGCAAAATAAATCGAAGCATGTCAGTACATGGCGACCTGATGTAAACACTGTGTTTCAATGGTAAAACATTTCCTGGAAAATACAGTTCCTGTGGCACTGTACTTTACCCACTTAGTCCCTACTACTTCTCTAAACATGCTCAAACTCTTGCCAAAAGTCATTCTGCTCTTCCAAATCTGTCGTGTTCTCGAACATTGGTTTTGTGCTTCAGCTGTGTACGATTTGTCAGGGTTCTGAATGTTTAGTTTATCCAATAATATTTTTATTTACATTTGTTTTGTTTGTCAGAACTTTTGCTAAAGTATTTTGCAGACTTGAAACCTTTACAAACAAGGATCTGGTTTCTTACAGTACTGTCGAAGCAGGGAAAGAACTGGGTGTTTCCAGGCAATCCACAGTATTCCTTGTGTTGTATAAATTAACTGCATTTCAGGAAACTGATCCTCGTGAAAGCAGTGCTAGCAGCAATATTGAGCAGCAGTAGTCTCGGCCCATACCATGGCCTACATCAGGAGTTAAGAAAGTGTTGAGTACTTGCTTTTTAACGCGGTAGCGTTTAGAAGTTTGTGTCGCAGAAAATTCGGCGTTGGCATCAGTGGGATCAACAAATCCCATAATGCAACTCGCGCAGCCACATCTGTCGCACGTGACGTCACACGTTGCATTATGAGACTTACTCACTAAATTTGGCAGAAAGGTTTTCCGGCCAAATTTAGCAGAAAAGTTTCTCACCAAATTTAGCTGGAAGTTTTTTCGCCAAATCTGGTAGAAATTTTTCCTGCCCAATCTAGCAGAAAATTTTCCTGCCAAATTTAGTGGAAAATTTTCCTGCTGAGTTTAATGGATTAATAGGGTCATGAAGCACAGCCATGTGTGACGTCACGTGACACATGACGTTACGGACTAGGCCATGCACACACAGTTGCATGGCTCTGCAAAGAGCACGCATTTATATGAAAAGGCTTTGCGAATGGGACCCCAAAACGGTCTTGCCTTCCACTCTTAAAGGGCAACTCCGCTCAATTCTGAAAAATTTAGGCTGACATGTGATTCAAATTCACAAAGCACTACTAAACAACTCTATGTCTTCGGATTCACGAAATGTGGAATATTATTGGTGTAATCCTAATTTAAACATCAGCTGATACCGAAACCGAAACTTCGGTTGCGTCAGGCAACATTAGTCTCATGTCGTCAGAGTCATAGCCTTGTCACGTCGAACCACGTGGTCTTGTGACGTTCGGGAGGGAGCGAGAAACAGGACACGCGACGCGGGCAGGTCGCTTCGCGTGGCGTGGACGATGATGGCCCGGGGGAGAGGGGGAAGGGGATAAGACGAAAGAGGAGAAGGGGAGCGGAAAAACAGACCGATAAGCACGCAGGGCAGCGCAAACTAGCGCATCCGCGTTACAGTAATCACGTGAACGCCCAGTCAGCCAACACCGGGAGGAGAAACTCGTGACGTCATCGTTCAATTTCGCTCTGAGAAGTAAAAACAAACAAAACGTGAGAATGACGTAGTGGCTCAACGTTGGCCGCTCCAACTCCGTCGCATTGACTGCGCTGACGATTGTGCCCCACATCGCACGCTAAAGTTGGCAGATTTCGGCGACTTTGCTCACTTGAAGATTTTCTGGCCAGTTTATTAAATATATAAACGGAATTAGATCGTAATATGTGACATTGGGTCTTCCTATATGATACTGAAGAGGGCTACATAGTTCTCTCTAAATATTGAAAATGAAGCAGAGTTGCCCTTTAAAGGCAAAGCGTCCCAAGTTTTTTTATAAGATGGCGTTTTTTGTTATGTAGATGCCATTTTTTATTATGTCTAAGGTTTCGTGATATGCCATCATTTCATTTACCATTTTATGATAATGTCTTCAATTTTTTTTATTTAGGTGATGTTAGGTTGCAACAGGCCCATTCGATCAGCGTCACTTACATCTACTTTCATACAAAGTTCCCGCTTTCTTTGATACATGTTGCAAATTCTTGCAAATGCCCAGTTGATCTTAGACACTAGTAGCAAACTCCTCATCTGCAATCGGCACAGTTGAGCAATAGGTATACTGCACGATATGTGTGTGCCTCACCAGTGAATCAGCATCGATTCCCTTTGCTCCCTGTGGCATGTCTTCAAGTTTCTGCTTTGTTTTGCCTGAGCCATGCATTTGTACTATGTTGTTGCATTTTGCCCACCTCCACTGCCTTTTTGTGTAGAACTGACCCCCTTTTCTTTTGGCATTGCTTTTTCTTTTTTTTATCCCTGAATTTCTTAGCAAGGAATTGTTGAGTGGCCCCGACGAGAAGACCAGGGACGCTTCGGAGGACACGCCAATGATTGACACGAAAGGGTAGGCGGGAAATCCCCCGGGGACGCGCCGGCTTCCATTCTCTGCTTCTTTCTCCTTTCCGCTTTGCGTCTCGTCGCAGTCCGCTCCCTTTCTCGCTCTAGCCGATCTGCCATCTGCTCGTCGATTTCTAGTGCGACGGTTTAGCCACTCCTTCTGCATTTCCTCTTCGTGTCTTTGCCTACCGTTGCCTTTTGCTTTGGGAGTCTCTCTGTCTGCATCTGCTGCCTACGTTTAGAGATTGCTTTCTACGTAAAAGTTACTGTTGTGGCACGTTTGGGGTGTGTAGGGGATGTGCCGGGTTTCTTGCTTGGCATCCTTAATGGTATCGAGAGGGCATTAACTTGCAACATCTGCATCGACGTCGGCGTTTCTGAGCTTTAAGAAGAGTCGCAATTTGAAGGCCGAGACCCTCTACTTGCCAACCGCAGCATCGGCATTTTTGCATGACATTGCAAAGTAACTTTCTAATGCAGAATTTTATAGTGTACCATTTGAGAATGACTCCTGCTACAAGTCCGAGACAAGAGCACAAGCAGGTAGTGGCAGAAGTGTTTTTTTAATTGTAAACTGTTTTTTGTTTTTTTTTGTAGCAGATTAACAATGTGCTTGTTTGAGGTCTGAAAACTTTTTTAAAACCACAAATTGTTTAAATTGTTGCAATCTTACGAACAGCCTTGACAAAACGAAACACTTAGCTGAAACTGTTTTCCCGTTTGCTCATAACTTTTATCAAAGTGCAGAGGCACTTCACAACGGCTGTCAGGTGTTTGTACGCACCTCGAAACTTTCGTAGGGCACTCTAAACATTTCTGCGTCTCCCACAAAAAGAGTACACGGACAGGTCGATAAAGCATTTCTTCCATTTCCATTCCGTTCCTCCCCTCTGCGGCGCAGGTTGAAGGACGGCAAGCAGCACGACCTCAGGTTCGAGCCACCGCCCGCGAGCGACAAGAACCACTCGTCACTCAAGGGTTCCAAGTCGAGCATTGCCAAGGACAGCATGGTCTGACGCCCCACGCCCGCTTCCCTTCCCGACCACGGGTTTCCCGCCGCGTTGGCCGTCCCCGGACCGACGACGACGGCGGTAGCGACGAGGAGCTGAGAGGGGGCGTGCATTCATGCACGGGACCGGGCCTCACTCTTTTCCCGATGATCGCCGAAACCCGCTCACTCTTCTCCCTCCCTGGCTGCGGCGGGGTGCTCTTCGGCGTGTGTCGTCCTCTGGCAACTCGCGTCTCCCTGGATGCTCCCTTCTCTCTCTCTCTCGCCCCCTCCCCCTTCGTTTGTCGTTGCCGTACCAAGCAGTGCCGTACCAAGCGGGTCAGGCTCTCTTATTTCAACAGACGGCGTTCATTGGTTTTTTTTTTTTTTTTGTTCATCTCGGGGTTAGGGCGGGAGGGAGGGAGTTGGACGTGTCGCAGATTGGAAAATCTAGATTTCCGCGAGCGAGAGTGCAGCTTGTTCGGTGAGCTCTTCGTTTTCCTTCTTTGCGGTGCTCGACATGCATCGTTTCGCTCTAGAGACTGATTATTTATCCTCATTATTCGGACTTCTCGGGGCATCTCATCTCCACGTTTATGTCAAGCAGCAGTGTCGTATTTCATCATTTACATTTTTTTTAGGGTGGTATTTTGTTTTATTACTCCTTATGTAAAGCGTGACTGCCTATTTTAAGTTTTTAAACTCTCGCTCGTACCGAGCGGGAATACATTTGTGGTGCTCATTTAACGTGCCACGGATGTGGCATCTAGAACAAAAAGTGAGACTTCCCGCGAACGTAACTCTAAAAGTCAATCTTCACTTAGTTCCTTTCAGAACCTTCATCTGTATGCCTATTCAACGGAAAGTGAACAGTCATTTTTTTTTCTCGGCCCATTGAAGTTTCTTATGTGGCTTCGCTGCAAGTACCACTACTGCTCTCACATCGAATCATTCCACGTACGCCATACTTGCACAAGTTAGTACTCTTAGGGGTTTTTCTCTTTATTTTTATTTTTTACTATTATCAATCTGCACGTGCGGAAGGACAAGTGATTACAGATGAGAAAGTTTTGCTCAGGTGTTTGTGAGGGGTCGTTTAGACGAGGGAAAGGGACCCCGATCTCTTGTAGGTAAGGCTTCACTTCTTATGTAGGTTCCTCTGCGTTTCTTTCGCACCACAACTTTTTAGTTGGATCCACGTTTCTCTCTCCTCGCCGAGTCAGGGCGAGGAGAGAAGACACTTGTTCCTGTTTCAAGAAAGGAGCAGAATCTTTTGGTGACCTGCGTGCATGTGTCGTATGTGTGTGTGCGTTGGTGTGTGCACGCATGCTCGGATTGTGCTTTTTACGGTTCTTCGTTTGTACAAAGTGTTCTCTAGCGTTCTTTTCGTCCGTGTGCTGCAAGCTAGACGTTGTGGGGAGCGGCAGCTCTGACGGTTGCGCCTTTCTAGTGTCGGAGTCGTCTTCCCCGCGGCCCCATGGGCCCGGCCGGAAGTTGTTGTTATCTAGCCTTTATTCGCCCATTACTCGTCGGGAACTGGACGTCGGAGGTGATAAACGATGGCGTAAACTACACAGACAATTATGGTGCGCTCAAGTGTCGCAGGTGGTGCTTCCGGTGTCCAAGTTGTTGTTTATTCGGGGGGAATCTCTCGTTCGTGTTTTGTCTCTGGGAAGACGACGACTGCCATTTTGGGAGGGAAGGGGAGTCGAGAAGACGGAGCCTTGCCAGGTTGTCTGCTCTGGAACCCGGAAACAGGAGCTCGGGTTTATTTACAATGTTAGATCCATAGCTCGTGGGAGTGTGGGGGCTCTCTGTCGTGTTTCGCTGTGTCTGTTTGTCACTAGCGTTTGGGTTTGCTTGAGGGGAAGAGGGACGCAGGCGCCGCAGCAGCGATCTCGTTGACTTCTGGTTTTCCCCGACCCGCGACCTGCCGCAGCGGTGACGGAGGTCCATGGCTAACGAAGAGAGGAGGGCAGCTGACAACCGAACCTTGTTCCGACGGAGCGCGACGAGGCGTTTTTGCTGGCGTTCTTCGGCCGTCGTATTTTTGTATCTTTGACACTTATAGGATGGGGCCGAGAGCTGCTTTGTATAAATGAAAATTGAGGCAGAAGCAATGCGGGAAATTTAGCTTAATATTGAGCCGTTCGCAGGTCTCTGGGTTTGGTTGGTTCCTTTTTTGCGCCGTGTTACTCTTTTTGCGGTTCGTTGTGGGGCTGGTTGCCAAGGACGTTTACTTGACTGTTCATGCTACTTATCTGTCCATCTATATTGCATACTTACATACGCACATATATTATACATATACTGCTACATATATAAATATATATATATATATATATACTTATATGACGAAAGTTGTTTGCTTCTGTGACGCTTATCGGGACTAAATGGCGCCGAGCAGTCCTCGGTCTGGTGAAGACTGTGTAAAAAACAGTTGCGATAAAAGGTTTTCGTCGCATGTTCTCATCCCCGGTGTGGGTAAGTGAGCTTTCAAGGAAAAAAAAAAAAGAAGAAAATAGTGATAGCGTGTCGTCAACCAACCACTTTTAGCAACTCCCCAGCCAACGGTAGCTCCAGTTTCTTTTTTGGGAACCGAACGAAAGAAGAAAAAAAAAAAAAGAAAGGGAAAAGCTAAAATAATGCAGCACTCCCTCTGGTGCTTTTTTTAGAAACCGGTGGTTTGCTAATACAGTTTCGTCTGCTAAGAGCACGCTGTCTGCGAACCTTCGCGGGGGAGAGGAGAGGGGGCCACGTGCCAGGGTGCACGTCTGGTCAGCGGAGTCGCAACGTTACTTTCTCTCGTTCCGCGAACAAATAACTACATGAAAAAGCATCAAAGTATGTTTTTTCGGTTGCGTGTCTCTATTCGGAACGGGCACCGGGATCGGGAAATTCGCTCGTCATCGTCGTGGATCCGTGTTACTTGTCCGTCTTTTCTCCGTGTCGTCTGCATCGAGGAACGTTGCATGAAAAGAAAGAAAGCAGAAGTCAACGAGAACTGGGGCTTGTATTTATGCCGTCCCTGTGTTCTTGTCAAAGCTTTGTCTTCGTTACCTTTTTTTTTAGCCTCGAACAGCATGTCAGATTTTTATTGTTGGTTTGACAACAGACTCTTAAGGGAGAACTAAAGCTCGGTTCTTTGATTTTAATGTCGCACTGGGTTTTGTAGGATGACCACACATTATGGAAGTCGACTTGTTCCCGAGCTCGAGCAGCTGGTTTGGACTCTGTGTTGCCAGGTTGATTTTCACGTGATGTGGTTGCCCTGGTAGCACTTTGCCTATTTTGACCACCCCGAAATTGATTTTGTGTAGGTTCCTGTTTCACTTGGACTTTGTTCTGTTTGTTTGGCACAGCATGTTGGTGGTGATGAGTGAGTGCAGTTTTATGTGTGCAATCGCGGGCGTGCGCGTGTTGTGTGTGTGTACAGCCGAAAGATCAAAAGAAGCCAAAAAAAAGTTGGTTATGAAAGGCACTCGTTTTCTGAGCGTATATATATAACTGTCTATATATATATATGCGTCCGCACTGTAGCGCTATAACGACGTTTTCATCTTTGTTTTATTAAAAGGGTTGTAAAGTTTTTAAAGTTTGCTGCTGGAACTCGGTCTGTGACGTGTGTGCGTTAATAAAGTTGATTCGTAAGAAAAGCGCTGTTGCGTGGAATTAGGGGGTGCTTGGCGACCTCCCAAGTCAAAGGGAAGAAAGTGTTGGCATAGTAACGCCTGTTAAGACTGAGGGCATGTTCTTGAGCAGCATATGCCCCATTTGTCACATGCCAGTTCGTCGTAGGGTAACTGGTAATAGACCCGTTCGTCTCTGCAAAACATTCGGTCATAGGAAGATTCATTGCTGTAAGAACTCGTTGCACATATACCCCAAGGGCTTTTTGTGTTTTGCTCTATTTGGGTCTCTTAAAGGGGCCCTGCAAGCACTTTTTTACTGGTTTTTAATTTGCACCGAACCTGAGCGCACTGAACGTAGTAACCTAATGCAACTTTTCTTTTCTCGAAATTCGCTTTATTTTAAAAGTTATAGGCAAATTAAAATTACAAAAACAAACAAAAAATAACCTCCTTCATGACGTCCTTGGTTGCTTGAGTGGCCGTGAACTAGAGGAGGGGTAGCGAGCTATGCGAGCGCTCACGGCTGCCGCACTCCTAGTTGAAGGCACGAGAGGGCGCCACTAAAGCATCTTTTGTATAGGCTGTATACAGCGGGCAGCCAGAGCGGCTCTCATTGCATTTGCTGCGCGAATAAACGCTAATTCTACATGACACTTCATCGGCCACAAACGACAGCAAACACGGGGTAAAGATCAGTTCAGAATGGGAACCACTTCGCGCTGCCGTACCGCGAAACAGCCAAACCGCATGACAAAGCTACTCGCCGAAGGCCTTCGGAACGCTCGGAGCCGGTCGGATCCCCCAGTCCGTAAACGACCGCAGTGCCGCCGCGTACATCCGGGACCTTTCCGTGTCGGCACCTGATCCCACTACTCCATTCTAGTATGCGCCGCCTTTTCCACCGCTTGGTGGCGGGTATGTCGACGGGTCACTTCTTTCCGTACTTTATAAACTGCATTTGTTTCTTTTCTGGTCTAAAGTAGTAAACAAAAACTACTTTTGCAAATAATTGAAGCGGTTCGCGCCACTTATATTTTGTATTTCGACTAAAACGAAGCTTTTAGCGGCTCTGACCGGTAATGAGCCCAGGACCTAAGACGTCAGATTTTGCGCGCTTTCGGTACCGCGGGTCGCCCTCGTCGGTGGAAGAGGTTTCCGCGTCGTCCGGTTAAAATATGACGCACTGATATTTAGTTACTCTCTCCGTGCCCGCTGGCTTGCCCGAACCCCAAGAGACGTGGAAACCGCAAAAAAGGTAGACGCTTAAATATGATTGCAGGGCCCCTTTAACAGGCTTCCCAAAAAGATCAGCCTGGGTCCACCCAAACAAGGTCAGCCAGGTTGGTCACAGGCAAAGACTCTTAATAAATCCGCAAGAATGACGGCTTAAGGTTTCGCGTATCACTATTGTGACAACTTGCAAAAAAAAAGGAATTCAATTTGCAGTTGATACTGAGAAAGTCAACCCCAAACAAAAAGGTCCCCTCATTGTCTCTAAAGTCTCCTCTCGACATTGTCTGTATGCTTCACGATGGACACGTCGTCTGTAGCTTTGCATGTTACCGAGGTCGCTGGATTTGCCAGTGTGCCCGATCCAGGATGTTTCGTGGTTAGTCAGACAATAAAACATTTGGGCTTTTGATCTGGAAATGGGGTCGCAACTACCGAGAGAGTAGCTACAGCTGCTTTTTGAGGGATATTCCTAGGTACACTTCTATCAAAGTCGACGAAAAGAATTTTGTATGGGACTGCCAGCAAAAGATAAGTTGTAACACTAAAATGTCAAACAATCGTGCAAAAACTTGTACAATATCTTATTTAAGTACAATCTGATGTAGGAAGGAACACAGGTTTGTTTCTGTGGAGCGGCCTTTCATGAAACCATGTTGCTCAGGAATAATCTTCCGACAAAAATATGCGTAAAGGCGGGTGTGCAAAACAATTTCATAAACTTTAGAAAAACTACAAAGGAGTGAGACTGGCCTATAGTTGTTAACCGTGGATCGATCACCCGATTTATGTAATGCAACAACAACAGAGCGCTTCCAAGCGGTAGGAAATGTTTCAGATGCAAGTGATAAGTTACAGATATGAACCAAAACTGGACAAAGGAGTGGAGCACAACCTTTTACTATGAAGCTGGGAATTCCATCTATTCCCGTAGATAACTTTGGTTTCAATTTTTTTAATTGCCTCCAAGACTTCAGATTCATTAATTGGAGCAACAGTAAAAAAATCCAGGCAGTTTATATTCGAGCTAGGCATTAGGCCATTATTTGTACTGAATGAAGCACTAAAGTGGCGCGCAAAAAGATTAGCTACATCAACACGGTCAGAGACGCAATCCTCATTATCTCGCAATGTGATCGTGGTAACATTCTCTTTGATGCTCTCTTTGACAAACTTCCACATACACTGCGGCTGTGTGCTCAATGATTGCTCGGCGATGTCAGCATGTTGTTTATCTCGCTTAAACAATTGTTTCGCCTCTGCACGACATTGGCTAAATCTCGTGTACCAAACGACATTGCCAGTTTTTTTGTACAGGCGATGATAGTGTAGCATGTCTTAGTTCCTTCGAGAACCATATGGGATAGTCACTTTTATGAGACACCCTCTTTGGTATAAAGAGTCGCATGCTTTCCTGGACAATAGTCGAAAGTGTGGAAGTTGATGATTCAACACACTGATCAGCTAGAACACTACTCCAGTTAGTCCCGAAGATACTGATACAATGAATAGTAATCACCGTTGGAGTAGGAAAACCATGATTGTGAATGGAAAATTTGCTTGGCAAGTGGGAAGAAAAATGATACAATAAAGCTTTGGCAAGACTGATATCAACAGCCGAAGTGACCAGGGCAAGGTCAAGTATGTTTCCACAACAGTTGCGTACAGTATTACGTTGTTCAAAACCATTGAAATTAATGAAGTCTAACAGACAAAGTAGCTTCAACCTTGTGTTCGTGTGACTGACTAAGAAGCTGCCTGACTCCCAATCGTAACCAGGAAGGTTGAAATCGCCATACATGTGCACTCTAAATTTAGAGAAGTCAATTCTTCCAGAAAGTTGATATGCTCACAGAAAATAATCTGATCAAACATCGGCGGAAAATAATAATTGCCAATGAGAAAGTTTCTACCATCGGTAGACAGTACTTCAATCCACACGCTCTCAGGATAACACCCGAGATCGCTCCTCCGATGAACTTTCAAGCTCCTATCTGCAGCAATCAAGACACCTCCCCCCAAGCTCTTTCCCGTTTTCACGTAGTCACGATCACGTCTATATACTTCATACTTGGGTGGAAAATAATTAGAACTAGAAATTCCATCTACAAGCAAAGTTTCTGTTAGGCATATGATTGAATACGTGCTTGACATAGCCTCCGAAAAAAACTCGCCGTCGTTAGTCCTCAAACCACGTACATTCTGATAATAAATGGTACACTCATCATGCATCTTCTTCGTTTCTCCTCAACAACCCAGAAAACTGCCTAAAGAGACAGCCAATGGGCCACACACTCGCGTCATTCACCTTGTCAAAATCGTCCCACTCTACAGCGATGTGGAACGATGCCTAGCTTACATGTCTAGAGGGAAGTGGGGTACAGAAATGTTTTGACGACGTTGCTAAGTATACGCCTCGCAAGTGGGCTCATTTTCGTCTGCTGCGCATGAGAAAGGAAGTAGCGGTGACGTCAGAACGCCGAGCCCTGATTGGCTGATCGCGACCCCCTATCTCAGCGTCGTCTGCTCCTTTGCAACGTCGTCTGCGTCTGTCTTACCTTTCCTGCGACTTTCGGAAGTGCAGGTCTTTACGAGGCAAGCTCGACTTCGCCTTTCGGAGGGGGCAGACGAAATAACTCGAGCGGTTCGTTGTTTTTGTTCAACAACTAGCAGACGCGCATCAAGGAGGGAAGTCAAAGGACTCACTGGCGAGCTGTCTCGAGGCGCCGAGGTTTGTTTGCTAAGAACTGAGAGTGAGCGTGTTAGTGTCCGCAAGTTCCCTCCCAAATACTTTTCCCCTCCTTTCGTGTGCGGCGAGACCCCTAATTCTTTAACGGCGTCGGCGGGTTGGCGCAGTTAACGTCGTCTGCTTTAAGTCTGATAGTCAAAACGATGGCTGATTACCTTTCCTGCATCTGTCGGAGATTCACCGCTTTTTCACCGGCGAGAGTCACCGTTGCCTCGGGAAACAAGAAGATAACAAGAGGAAGAAATTGACCTCTCAATCTAAAATTGAGGTCAGCGATCAAAGCATAATAGGGAAGAGTTCACGAGGGTCGCGCGGGCATATTCCATTCAGCACGCCAGCCGGTCGTGGGCAGACGGTCGCCGAGTCGCGGAGTGCCTGCTAGGCCTAACTGCCGAACTCGCTTGGTCGCGTTCGGTGGAATCATGGCCGCTGGAGCTTTTCCTGGGTGTTTGTGGATCCTGCGTTCTTGTTCGTTGTGGTCTGTTTCAAGTACTTTTTTTTTCTTTTTTCTTGCTGCTTGAAGTCGGGACGCGTGAGAAGCGCACGTAGAAAAATAAACGTCCGTGGGTAGTCGCGACTGCGACGCTGTCGGCCATGCTGATCTGATCGTAAGAAGTGCGTAAGACAGCTTCGGCCGGAGCTGTCGTAGGATTTCGTCGTAACGTGCGCAAAACGTACGAAAATTTCGTTTCGTGAATACGGATTTGTTCTTAAGTTTTGTCTTACGCACATTTTTGGCGTAAGATCGTTTCGTGAATCTGGCCTCTGCACTTCCGAAAGTCGCAGGAAAGGTAAGACAGACGCAGACGACGTTGCGAGCAGACGACGTTGCAAAGGAGCAGACGACGCTCAGATAGGGGGTCGCGATCAGCCAATCAGGGCTCGGCGTTCTGACGTCACCGCTACCCCCTGCGCAAGAAGCAGACGAACTTGCCCTCCGCATTGCTGCGATGTCGTCAACAGTGGTTGTAGGATCAAGCCGAGACACAAAGAGCGCCCTACTCCTCGGAGGTCGAGGTACAGCCGTCAGCTTACTTGTAGAGTT